AAAAATATATAAAAGGGCGCATCTCAAGCATACGACCTCATTTTTTTCTTTTTCTATTCCCAAGACACTTCAATTAGCCTCTCAAATTATCAAAGTAAGCATCATGGATACTTTAATAAAGTAGTTAAAGTAGAGATTTTTTTCACAAAAAAAGAGCTCTTTTACGAAAAGAACGATTTTGTATAAAGTTTGATTAAACGTTTTAGGGGTCGAGGAATCTGAATCTGAAATCAGTCTGTCGAAATTTTGAGTTCGATTTTACCACAAAAATTTTTTTGTAAAAAAATATTCTTTTTAACAGAAAAATTTTTTTGTAAAAAAACGTAGTTTTTTTAACAGAAAAAAATTTTTTGTAAAAAAATATTTTTTTTTAACAGAAAAATTTTTTTGTGAAAAAGTGATTTTTTTAGCAAAAAAAATTTACGAAACAAACTGGTTCACAAAAAAATTTTTTGTAAGAAAAAAATAATTTTTTCTATCAAAAAAACATATTTTTTTACAAAAAGAATTTTTGTGGTAAAATCGAACTGAAAATTTCGAAAAACCGATTTCAGATTCGGATTCCTCGACTCCTAAAACCTTTGATCAAACTTTATAAAAAATCAGTTTTTTCTTAAGAAAGATCTTCGTTTGTAAAAAAAATCGAACTCAGAATTTCGAAAAACTGATTTCAGATTCAGATTCCTCGACCCCTAAAACCTTTGGTCAAACTTTATAGAAAATCGTTCTTTTCTTAAAAAGCTCTTCTTTTGTGAAAAAATCTCTACTTTAACTACTTTGTGAAAGTATCTATGATGCTTACCTTGATAATTTGAGAGACTAAGTGAAGTGTCTTGGTAATAGAAAAAGAAAGAAATGAGCTCGTATGCTTGAGATGTGTCCTTTTATACTCCATATAGCCGTTATTATTGGTGTTTAAGAACGATCGAATTGGAAAATTAAGATACTTATTTATTATTGGCTATTTTTTCAGCAACTGCGAGAACAGTGAACAGTTTAGCAGGCACTGCGCTCGCTGCGTCGTAGATGCGAACGCAAATGCGTCGCAGTGAAAGCAGTCTATTTCTTTAATCTCAACTGCGGCCAGTGCGTCGCAGTTACGCGCAACTGCGTCGCAGAATGGCTGCTGCGCGTAACTGCGACGCAGTTGCTAAAAAAGTGGTGACATGGGTTTTTTTTCAATTCACGATTCAAGTTTATTTCAATTTTCACAATTTATTTGACGAAAACAAACTGATATTATATAATTTACATTTTCTTAGATTTAAATTACTAAAATTAGTATTTACACTTAATAGTTTCTACTTTTACAGTCTAATAAATTTCAAAGAATATTAATCAGTAATTTTTATTGATAAATAATCATACTTCTTTGCATTTTGATGCACATTTAACGTACCAAAGAAGTTCTCGTTAAAGCTTGTAATAGAAAACCAACAAAATTACAAAGTACTAAACCAAATATGGTGCTATATATCATACAAGGATTCATTAAATATGTTGAAGATATTTTTAGACTAGTCAACGTGCTTTTCTTCTTCGATTACTTTTCATTAAACATTGAATGAACAA